TCCACAGAGAGATCACCTCTGTCTAACTGGGGGCAAAAAAGCAAACAGTATTAGAAGTTACTAGGAATGGAAAAGGAAACAAAATAGAGAAATAACTACCACTAGATAGATCACTCATATACCTTTAGTCTGTAAGACCTGGATCACAGAGAGTCATTTTAGATTATGTTGCTCTGACTAGCTACAGCTTGGTTTTGACATTTTCTAAATCACAGCAGCCACCAAGAAACTTCAGCTGGAGCATCAGCTGGCTCATATAAGAGGATAGATTACAGCATTATATTTTAATACAGTATCTAATGCTGGTTTAAATGGTTAGTATATGTTTTTTTTTAAAGCATCACAAAACATACAATAGCTGACAGTCCACAAGAATGTTCAACAAACTCACAGGTTCATCTAGTTCCTTTGGGGGGAGCAGAGGGGAACACAATCAGACTCCCTCCTACTTTTCCTATAAAAGAACTATCAAGTTTGTGTACTGCTTACAGTTATCTGATTTTAGATTACATATGCAAAAATAAATTTGAAGACATTAAAATTTTTCCTCATTCTAATTTTGTGCAAGCATTCTAAAATATTTTTAGAATTCAGATATACTATTTTGGGAGAAAAAACTTGGAATGAAGGTCATTACAGCAAGCACAGCAGATGCCTTTTGTACAGTATTATAACTCAGATTTGTTAATTTAAAAATAAATCCATTTTTTCCCAATGAATGCATATAAAAATTAATTTTAATTCACATAAGAATGGGGCCAGAAAGTGATAATGGAAATTAATTTTCCTTTCTAGACCTTTAGTTTAAATGACACTGGTCTCAGACTTAACACACTCTTTATAGTATATGCATATTTCTAAAAATGCTAAATTCCATTTGTGAGCAATTTTTTATATTCATATAAAAAAACAGAGAAACTGGAAACATTTTGAACAAAATAATATTATCACTTAATATAAAGCTACTTCAGTCTATTGCTTTTACATACACAAAACAGACTAGGACATATATTTTCTATGATGAAAAATGGGAAGCTTCCAGTGACTGGAGTGCTGCAATGGATGGCTATAAGCTCTTCAGAAGGGATAGGCAAGG